AAGCTCGGCAGGAAACCAATACAAAATAGGGAGTGTAGTTTTCAGTAATGTTGGATTTTTGCCTAACAAGCCTTTTTTCTCTTTAGTGTACTTTTGATTTTCAAAATGACATATTGAGACAGATGACCCAGCGCTGGACAAGAACTGTATTTTATTAATAACCAATCACCACTGTTAACATTACAGTGTGTTAAAGTCTTGAAAGTGTGTAGTTGTTAGCTGTCCCTTGGCAGTGTCTCAATAATAATTAAGCAGGACAATCACTTGTATTAAACTGGTTACTTGACTTGGATTAACTCTCTTTACTCATATTAAAGTGAAGGAATGATTCACTAAGGCCCCTAGAAATTGAAGAGTATCAGAAAGAAGTAGCCAAACAGACACATTTGTTTTTCAGTCTTGGCTGCAGGGTATCTACATTTTAGTAAGGTCATGCAGAATCCAGGAGAAACTAGAGAATGCCAAATGTTCATCCCCCTAAACCAGCTCATAAAGTGTTTCTGTGTCTGAACAGTAATGCTTTCCTGGAGGTCTTTTGTATCAATGTTGTCCTAGAAAATTCAAAACAGAAGCTCTAAGTAGTCATGTTTCTAAGCCTTGTGGTCAGAATTAAGCCCTAGTTGGGAGGAGTAAGCTTGAAGTAATAGAAGTACTTTATGAAGCCAGAAGCATTGCTTTCTTGGCTTCCCAGATGATGCTGTGATAGTGACCTAATGAAGGTATCAAGTAAGTAGGGAAACTGTCCCACTGAGCTGTAAGCTGAAACTAAAATATCAGACTCTCGTTTAAGAATATATATATATCCTTTAGGTTAGAGTTTCATTAAGAGCAGAGTTTAAATGACTAGCTTAGGTGCTTGACTTTAACATGAAATAGAATAATCTGAATATCAGTGTTGCAAATTTTCAATCTCAAGTGAGCTTGAGCAGTCATTTGGTACCCTTGATAAGCAGTTCAAGGTTTATGCCATTGAATTATGCCTTATATTTAAGAACATTAGAAATGACCAAATGCAGCTATTTATGTTTCTAGATTCTGCTTTCACCAAATTAATGGGAAGCTTGAAAAGAAATAGCTGTTTGACAGGATGGAGGCAAGATAAAGAAATATTGGCAAGTCCTGGCTTCATCCCTTCCTAGTTAAATATGCTTGTACCAGATATTTTTTTATACCCCCTGCAGATTCTGAACGGTAAGCTGAGACTCATTCCCAATTTATTTCTACCTTGTGCTCCAGGGGGAGGAAGGTACATCACACCATGATACCAATACCGAAGCCTTTTAAAAAAACCAAAATCCCTCACAACAACTAAAGTTCTTAAGGCAAGGTCGTCTCTCTAGTGTGACATTTACTAACGTATGCAACGTAATTTAGGTCCAACTCCTGCTAAAAACCCTTGTGAAGTTCACAAGTTCTCCGGCAGATGGCAGCAAAACATTGACTGAACAGCACCAGACTTTTTGCTCGGTTAAAGTTGTTTCCCTGACCGAGGGGGAGACTGGTGCTATTAGCTCACTAGAAGCCTATAATCTTGACGGTAAATACAATATATTTATCATGAGGTTTTACTATTGGGTTCATGTTTGGAAGGTTAGTTGTTTGTGTTCTTTCCTTGCCCAACTGAGAGGCTTGTAGAGAGACTTCTCTTACATGACTTAGGGGTTTTCTTGGTTCACTTCAGTGGTAAAAAGCAGTGTTTCTTTTCCATTATGTCCATCTTTCTCCTTAATTCTGCCTCTCTGAATGTATCATCCCTTTGCATCTTAATTCTCATGCTTATGCTTCTCGCTTTACTTATCACCTGTAAGGAGATAATGTAGAATAGTCTGAGCAATATGAAGAAGGAGACCCTGGGAGCAGCAAATGCCACTTTGAAAGATTATCTGTCTTTAATGACTTGGTGGGTTGTACTGATTCTCTGCTATATTTTGGACATCATCAGAGTGCAGGTTAGGAACCACCTATTCAGTCACTGACTTCATTTGCCTGCCAACCTGTGGATGCATCATCCATTGCTTAAACTCAGGTTAGTTTAACTTTACAGGGTGCTGAAACTTCTGCTTTCCACAGAAGATGAGGAAGGCTGTCACTACTAAGGGACTAAACTTCCCTTAGCATTTCTGTTCTTATTTCTAGGTTCCTATTCTATATGCTAGAGGCAGTTCTCATGTTTTATTTCTCTGTGTAGTCAGGCTGCATTAGTTTGTATATTGGATTTTTGTTTGTCATCTTCCCCTCAATCTTTACATTTTAAAAACCCCTTAAAGTTGCTGGATTACCTTTGCAGCTGTATTCTGTACTCTTCCTTGCCAGTCGTTTTATTTTGGTATGATGTCTGGCTTGGTGTGTTGTCTGGATATGGTCACAGTAGGTTCATATTGAGAAGCCTATTCCTGTTGTTTTGCGTTAACACCTTTGCGTGTTCAGATGCATTCAGGCTGAACTAGCTTGCAATATATATTGTATTCTGAACTTAACTTACAGCAGGTCTGAATTTTGAGATGAAAACTGGTGTCTCCCACCCTATTCCTCTCTCCTGTTTGAGTGTGATGGCAAATGAGCAGAAAACTGCCCTTTCTATGTGGTACAGGAGAGCAAGAGCTCCTCTTAAGCAGCATGTGTGAGCACTGGGTGTTTGTAGCCTTCAGCCAAGTTTGTGTTAAACCTGTGTGGTCACAATGTCTTACTCTCTCTCCCTCCCTCCTGAGACTGCTGCTTTCCTTCTAAACGTGGTATGTATAGATGAGGAAATGACAAAGAATTCGGTGTGCCAGGATGCAAGAATGGGGCTGTCCAGGTTATGGAAGGTGGAAAGACACCCTTACACTTGTCTGCTCTTACAGACGGTGTGCTTTGTGTGCGAATGTGTGATTACAGAGCAGATAACACAGTCAGCTGTGAAGGACAGACCCCAGCAGTTGTTTCAATAGATACACAGGAATGTTGAGAACATGTCAACTTAAGGCTAGTATCTTGTGCAGGTAATATCTCTCTTTTTAACAGCTGGGAAACTTAGGTTACACTTTCTGTGCCTCAAACTTCCAAATTGTACCTTTTAGCATCCAACAGGCAGCATATGGTGGAAGGAGAAACCTCACAGCCTGGCTTGTTCTCTAGGTGAGGTGATGAGGCAGGCATCTTTCCTTTGGTCATTAATTTGGTACAGGAAATAGGCACTCGCTTTACAAGGGTGTCCTGAGGAAATGAAGTAAATTGATTTGATTATTTTAATTTTATAATTCATAAATGAGGCTGAGTTTTTGTGCTATGGTGTGGGGGAGAAAAGTATCTGTGTAATCGCTTGTATTCTGCACTAACATTTTTTCCTGACTCTTTCCATACGTGATTGCTTACATTCTTGTAAAATCTTAAATTTTTGTAAAACTATAAATTCAGAACAGATTCATCATCTGTAAAAGCAGACTTTATCAAGATAATCTAAAATAACATATATCTTGCATGCTTTGGAAATCCTGCAGACCACAGAGAAACATTTTACCTAATGCAGTATTACACCCTAAAAACAATACAATGCTGCCAGACCACAAAACATCCGCAGTTTGGGACAGCAGATGTTTCTACACATGCTTCTTTTTAAGACCAAGAAGCAGCACAAGGGAAAATGAAAAAAAGTTGAACGTTGAGAAAGAAATGTAATATTGTAGAGCTGGAGGAAAACTGGATGGACAGAGATTTGAGTAATTAGCCTAAGAGTGCTAGGAAGATGTGGAGAAGTATTTGTCAAATGGAAACGTGTATGTAAAAGAAAAAGGGGATTTTCTTGTGTGTGTAACTCTTTCTTAAATATAACTTAATTTTTTCTTTAAATTAGCATGTTCCTGAAAGCAAGAATTAGTTTGAAGTACAACATAATCCTGTCACACTATGCCTGAAAAGACTTAACGCTCTACCGTTTGATTATTTCTTCTTTTGCAGCCCTGGATTACTGTAATGCCTTCTAATTATTTTTTAATTTTATTTTAACTTCAGCTGATCCCACAGTTAAGGACTTAATTGGAGGCTTCACTGCTCTGCATTATGCAGCCATGCATGGCCGAGCGAGGATTGCGCGCTTGATGTTGGAATCTGAATATAGAAGTGACATTATTAATGCAAAGAGCAACGATGGTTGGACTCCCCTCCATGTAGCAGCCCACTATGGCAGAGACTCATTTGTCAGGCTCCTGTTGGAGTTCAAGGCTGAGGTTGATCCGCTCAGTGATAAAGGTACTACACCACTTCAGCTGGCCATTATCCGAGAGAGGTCAAGCTGTGTGAAAATCCTTCTGGATCACAATGCCAACATCGACATTCAAAATGGTTTCCTGTTACGATACGCTGTGATCAAAAGCAATCACTCTTACTGCCGAATGTTCCTTCAGAGAGGGGCGGATACAAACTTGGGTCGCTTGGAAGATGGACAGACACCCTTACACTTGTCTGCTCTTAGAGATGATGTGCTTTGTGCACAAATGTTGTATAATTACGGAGCAGACACTAACACAAGGAACTATGAAGGACAGACCCCACTGGCTGTTTCAATAAGTATTTCTGGAAGTAGCCGACCCTGTCTGGATTTCTTACAAGAAGTGACAAGTATGTATGTAAGAGAAGTTAATCACAGGACACAATGTCCTCTAAAAGCCTTCTTTGAATTTAGCCCCAGAAAAAAAAATGCTTCCTCTCTGCCCCTTGATGCTATTTAAATGCACTAGAAAATTTCTGGGAAGGTGAAGGGATTGTGATACTGGGAATCTCTTGCTCGGCAAAGGTGCTAATGTTAAGTATATTTCGTTTAAATTAGTTCTGTTTAAATATCTGCAGGAAGCATTCATTTTAAGAAAGTGAACTGTAAAATCTCATTTTGTGAATGGCCTTAGCACTTCAGATGTTTGGGGTCTGGGGCTTTGTTTTGTTGTTTGTTTAGGGATTTTTTTTAGTGTCTTTTGCTTTTTCTTGTTCCAACTGCCGTGCAAGTACTCTGCAGTTGCTGGCTTTTTTCATCTGGCACTAGAACTAGGGCAGAAAAGAGCTTTTACTGCTTTGTGCTCTCCCACATTCTCTCTCCTTCCCTCCCCTCAACCAGACAACAACATGGCTTAGTTCATTCGTGCAACTTGAAGGGGTTTCCTGTGCTGTGTAGCTTTGATTTGATTTTTGTGGACGTCTTTGAAATATGAAAGAGATTTTAACTCGTCACGACTTCTGGTATTTAAAGAGTATTAGGCTTCTAATATTTGGGTCACTTTTGATTATTGGGTTTTGGTGTACTATATACTGGAAGCTTTCTCTCGTTCAGCATAGAGTACTGTAATAGTGTGTTGTAATTATAGAACTGAGTAAAGCATTTAAGAATTGCTGATTAGGAGTTTGCTAATTCAAACATGTTAAGGTGGCTGGATAAATTATCTAACTAAGCTGATCTTTGCATTACAGAGAATAGGGTATTTCATACATCCTTTTTCTACCCTACAGTTCCTTTTATTTTTTTGGATGCAGTAGTTTTATGTGACAATTAAGTAACTTACATACTCTGCAAAGAAACTGAGATCTAGTGTGGGCTGGGGGTGAATCAGCTGAGATCTGTTGGCAGTAGCTGACACAAGCATTTGGAATTTCATTTTTGTCTTCATGATTTGTGTTGTTATTTTTGCTCTTGTCTGAAATCTAAAGAGAATTTTTGGAAAGGTCGAAGCTGATACTAAGAAATACAAGTAACTAAGAGATTTTATTTTTATTTGTCTGCCCTTTCTCATTCAAACACATCTCTCTGCTTTCCTTTTTGGGAGCCTCTCGCTATATAGTAGCACCATCAGGGTTATTAGTAGATGATATAATATCCAGACTTGCAAATTTTCAGTCTTAGGACACATCAGGGAGTGTGAAGGCTTAGACTGCTTCCATGTTGCCTCAATGTCTAAAGACTTATTCAGAAAGCTGGAAACTGGTACGTGCTGTAACTTGCTTGGCAGATTTCGTATCTTTAAGGGTTTAATGTTAAGTGAAAAGTAAATTCTGCTACGAAATAGTGGCTTAAATTTGTGGCCAGTGTAACAGTGTTGGGACTATCCCAGTTTTGTGCTGATGGAGGGAGTACTGGAAAAGCAGGGAGGACTAGTGCTGACAAAAACACTTGAGCTTTGTGCATCTGAGCAAAGTTATTATGAATATATGTTTACAAACAGCTATAAACAGACTCTGCTGCCCTTATTATAAATATCCAAACACTGTCTTCCATGGTATTTATGAATAATCGCTTTAATAAGATGGTGTAGGAGAGATTAAATGGATAAGGAGTGAGCTGGGATTTTGGAGTTCCCAATTAGATCAGACTGCATACAGGAATTGTTGGGATCTTGCGCTGTAGCACTTCGGGGAAGAATCTTATTCCTAAGTCTATTGCAATATGTATTTACTAGAAGAAAAACAACATTTTTAGAGACTTCCTCTAGTGTAAGTTTTCCTGAAATTACTTCTTGTGATTGGTAACAGTGCGTCGGTTGTAGGACTTAACAGGAATTTCTACTTTGTTTATTTGACCATTATACTAAGTGCTTAATGTGGAAATCCTTAGCTGTAAGTTTTATATGTGCACCCAAAGTTTTGAAGAGTATATTTGATAGTAAAATTGGATTTAGTTTTTACTTTGCAGTAGGTTTGAATTGTTAAGCTTAAAGATTAATATGTGAATTATCAAACCGATCTGTGTCTTCAAGTGAAAGCAGTCACATGCTTCATATAAATGGGATACTATTTAGCAATCTACATGTAAGATGTAAGTAGCTATTTGTTTTTTATACTTGGAAAACATATTTGTACAGTTTCAGTTCCTCAGAAAACATCATATGTGAATTTCTTTTTGGTTTGATAGGTACTGTAATCGATAATAATCGCAGCCTTTAGCCCAGGTCCCCGGTTGTGAATAACAGCCAAGAAACCAAGCTCTCAGAAGTACTCAGTATTGGCCCTGGGAGCCTGCAAGAAGATACTGGATTTGGGGATTTGACCCAAAGGGTCTGATATTTTTCCTGGTAACAGGTAGAGATTCCTTTGCTCCTAGAATAATTCTATGAGGAAGGAAGTTATTCTGTAGCTGAATCTCAATATTTAAGCATGAAGCTGGAAGTTAGGAACAACAAAGTTTTTCATCATGAGTCTGCTGTTGGAGTTTAGACAGTCACATATTATTCCCCCCCCCCTTTTACAGTACATAAATGAGTGATGTCAACCCGTGAAAAAACAATATTAAGATGAAAATTGCTTAATGATTTTATTAATCACTTTCATTTTCTTTATCTGTATTATGCATTCCTACTCCAAAACAGTATTTATTGGCAACCACCATCGTGCCTTAGATCATCTGATAGAGTTGTTTCGGAGTGTTTCAGTTTTATGATACCTGAACCTGCCTCTCGGGACCATCAGTGGTTTAAGCTTGGAATACACTAATGCAAAATTAAGAGATGGATGTATATAGGAAGATTTAGATACATATGGACATTTTCTGGTTTTTTTGGTCTACAGAATTAACATGTGCAGTTACAGTCCTGGATGGAATGATTTATTGCTGAAGTTGAATGGGATCTGAGAATATTAAAACTTACAAAGAGAGTGCTAGAGGCAGGAAAAAATGCAGGCATTGGAAAAATACTTAAAGGTTTAAATAAACTTTCAGGTACTAGAAATTCAATTATGGTCTCCAGAAGGGAAATAAAAAAAGCTTGAATGCTTCCCCCTCCGCATAGCTCTTATTTAATTTAATCTAATCACTGTTCAGATAAGATAGCAGACAAGAGAGTCTGTGACTGGCTGTGCAGGTTGCTTGTCTGTGTCGAGGCTAATAGCAAAGTGAACGGATATGGCCGCAGCAGTGTAATGCGGCTTGTGTGTTAACAGGTATCGGAGAATAATTTCAGATCTGGAACAAGATCTAAAGGTCATCAAATGAATTAAATTACAAATATTTCATTTATGTTCCTTTTTTTATTAATTTTCAAAGGGCAAATCTTTGGCTTTGACTAGAGAGTGTAACTTTGTGTTTAGATTTATATAGCACTGTAAATATGCAGAAAAACTTAGACAAAGGTCCTGCTAAGGAAATCCTTATATGTTCTTTGTCTCTATCCTTTTGCTAAATAAAGGTAACTTTGCACTAGGAGTTTTTTTAACTGGGAGAACATTTTAAAAAAGGGTCTCTATATAGTTTAAACTTTTATGACTACAGAAGTGTCATAGCGAATTAAGTAGATTTCTATGTGTTGTATTTTATGTGGATAATTGCAAAGGAAACAATCTTCATGCTTTTGTTATAACATAGAAGTTTGCTGGAATTGCAAGCTTGGGCTGCTTGCTTCCTTGGTGCTGCTGGAAATCTGGCACTAATGAATGTGGTCTGCTTTGCCATCCTGAGTTACACAGGGAACTGGGGTAAGAGGCTTATTTTACAGTGTTCGTTTTAGCTGGATCAGTGATAAACAAATACTGTCTGAATCATGACTGCTTTCTGCAGATTGCAGCTATCTATTTGCTAAAGGCCAGTATCATTTTTATATTCCTTTATAAAAAGGCATAGCCCAGTCTTTTTTCTTTCTAGAAAAAGGGAATAGTTGTTTAACTCTCAACTCAGAATCACCTACTGTGATACTGAAAAATGTAGCGATTAACTCAGAGTGCAGTTGGCTGTTTATGTTAAGCAGTTGAATTTTTGTATAGCTTTATACAGTTGTATAATTTGGAAGAGTTTTTTGAAGAAGCCTGCTTAAAAAAAAAAACAACAAACCAACCAAAACTGTTATATGTATTTTAACTTTTTTTACCTGTGGCATGTAAGATGTAACCACCCCCCACTCCCATTTGCACACACATGCTGTACTCTTACAAGAATAGTGTGAAAGTGCCATCTTCAGCTTTTTGTTTGTTCAGAGCCCTTTACTTACTGTCTCCTATAAATAGGCAAACATTCTGGGATTGAAATCTTTAGCTGAATTTCCACAGCAATTTCAGAAAGTGTGAATTTATAGAAACATTACAAAATATTTTAAGAAAATAATCTTACACCAGCATATTCAAATCTTAATTTCACTGCTAAATACACCTGTTATACTTAACACTGAGCTTTACTGGCATTCTGCCTTTCCATATATAAATTTTCAGTCCAAAATACACTCCTCGATACATATTTTCTGTGCCAGATATATTGAAATCTAATAGACATCTAACACTCACTGTGGAGAATTATTTTTCAAAGAGCAATGAAAACATACTTCAAGCTCAAGTATTCTAGCAGAGGCATACTCAACACAAAATTAAACTAGAACTTTTGGAACAACTCCTATGCTATCCGGTAAAAAAGAATTAAAAGCTCTTTGTCCTCTTAAGCTAGATACCTGTTCAAGGAGTTTGTTCACTTTCTCAGTGAACACCAATTCTCTTTCTCTCTAAATTCAGTGTATCTTTTATTAATACTTCAAGCTTCTGGGTTCTTGGCACTAGCTTTTTCTGATATTTTGAATGCTGGAAAACCAAATAACCTCTCTGATTATCCTGCTGCTGTTTTTTGGAGTAAAAGACAATGCATTTCTTAAACTCTTAAACCT